TTATTTATTTATTTATTTATTTATTTATTTATTTATTTATTTTTAAGGGAGCAGTTTAGAATAAAATTCCGGAGTGCAGGACAGACCCATCCGGGAGGGCGGGGAGGAGGGAAGTAGAGAAAGAGGAAGGGATGCTTTAAAAAACGACATGCGTATCTGCACACTCTCGCTGGTTCTGGATACGATACCTCTCCAAAATAACCCCCCCCAAACCCCCCAGCAAAGTGCTTCACTCACTGTACCTTAATATGCCTTGTACATTTACCCCAAGCCTTTTCTTTCCGCCATTCAACACATACTGATTAAGCATCTCTTACGTGCCAGGTAGTAGTCTAGATTTTGGTCCAAAATCCTGTCAAAATGCTGCCATCGGGGAGTTTATGTTTTTGCACAGGACATAGTTAACAAGAAACCAAAAAAAATGTAAAATGTAATTTCAAGTAAATAAGCAGAGTAAGGAAAAAAGAAAGCAGGTAAGAGGTCAGAAAGTTACCAAGGGGAGAGAGAAAGGGGAACTCTGAAATCAGGTGGTTGTGGTCTTTGAAGTTATCTCTGATGAAGGGATATTTTAAGTGGACACCTAAAGTGATGGACAAAGCCATGCGAGACTCTGGGAGAGGTATGTTTCAGGCAGAAGGAAGAAAAAGTACAAAGTCCCTGAGGTAGGAACCAGGTTTGTATGATTGAGAAACAGCAGGTAGCAGCTTGCCTAGAAAACAGCAGATAGTCTCAGGGCATCTTGTGACACTTCTGGTACGATTGCCTGTTTTGTTAACTGATGCCATTGTAAACATTTTCACGGACTTGTATCCTTCCTATCTTCCCAACTCCTCGCAAGTCTACTGAGGGCAAGGTCTATGGTCAAAGTCCATACTCCCACAGCACCTAGAACAATGCCTCGCACATGGTAGGTGGGGTTTGGGGTTTTTTTCACTCATTTATCTATCATTGAAACTAGTGGGAATCTCTAGACCTGCCTTGTCCCAGTCTCACACACTTCTGTACCTGTTCCAAAAGTTGCTAACCATCTGGTAAATCATTGGTGAGCTACTTCTAGTACTAGCTGTTGTGATCAGTAAGAAATTCAGGCTATGTCCAGAGCACCACAGAAAGCTCAAACCAAGATTTACTCTTGCTGTTTGCAAATCTGGTGGTTTTACTTAGGCTCTAATATTTGAGGACTTGAAATATGAGGAAAATCTGCACATGCTCAAAGAAGCTGTTGGCTTTGCCACAGTTCTACGCTTAAACATTACAATAATATTATTATTATCCCACAGGGGTGTCATGAGGATTAATGAGACATTTTCAAATTACTTTGAGCTACTCCACTGGGGGGTACTAAATAAATGGTATGTGTTCCTCCTGAAGTGCCATTTTGGACATTGATTTGTTGTGATGGGTTCTGCTGCCCAACAGGGCTGGAATTCGCCCACCAACTCATTTCTTATAAACAACAGACTAGCTGTTAGAAGGCAGTGGTTTTCCATTAAAATAAATATGAATTGAACTAGTCAGCAATCAGAAGCAAATGGGCTGCTGTTAGAAATCTCATATTTATTAAGCACTCACAGTGAACAACATAAGAGTTTCACACTGTGATACAGTAAAATGAACAGTGGATTTGGAAATGGTCCAAGATTTTAGGCCTAGCTCTGCCACTAACCAGCTGTGTGGGCTTGAACAAACTGCTAAACTTCTCTGGGCTTCGAATATAAAGTATAAAGCTGTCCTAATCATAGACATGGCCAACATGCTCATGAGAAAATGCTCTGCATCACTTGCCATCAGGGAAATACAAATCAAAACCACAATGAGATACCACCTCACACCAGTGAGAATGGGGAAAATTAACAAGGCAGGAAACCACAAATGTTGGAGAGGATGCGGAGAAAAGGGAACCCTCTTCCACTGTTGGTGGAAATGTGAACTGGTGCAGCCACTCTGGAAAACTGTGTGGAGGTTCCTCAAAGAATTAAAAATAGACCTGCCCTACGACCCAGCAATTGCACTGTTAGGTAGGGATTTACCCCAAAGATTCAGATGCAATGAAACCCCGGGACACCTGCACCCCGATGTTTCTAGCAGCAATGTCCACAATAGCCAAACTGTGGAAGGAGCCTCGGTGTCCATCGAAAGATGAATGGATAAAGAAGATGTGGTTTATGTATACAATGGAATATAACTCAGCCATTAGAAACGACAAATACCCACCATTTGCTTCAACGTGGATGGAACTGGAGGGTATTATGCTGAGTGAAGTAAGTCAATCGGAGAAGGACAAACAGTGTATGTTCTCATTCATTTGGGGAATATGAATAATAGTGAAAGGGAATATAAGGGAAGGGAGAAGAAATGTGTGGGAAATATCAGAAAGGGAGACAGAGCATAAAGACTTCTAACTCTGGGAAATGAACTAGGGGTGGTGGAGGGGGAGGAGGGCGGGGGGTGGGGGTGAATGGGTGACGGGCACTGAGGGGGACACTTGACGGGATGAGCACTGGGTGTTATTCTGTATGTTGGTAAATTGAACACCAATAAAAATTAATTTATTAAAAAAAATAAAATAAAGCTGTCCTAAGAAGCTCATCATCAGTCTTCCAGGCAAGGCAAATACATGAGAAGAATGGAAAGAGTCATTTCTGAAGGAAAGATACTTCACCGGACCATCCATCACAGACAGGACCATCCTCTGTTCTAGTCTTCCTTGCCATTGATTAATATTAATTCCAGTACTAATTCCTGCAAATGGAGAAATAAATCACTTTCTAGGTCAGACACAGAAGTGCATGAAACATTTGGTCTTTAAAAATAGGGCCTTTGCCTTTCTATGAGCCAAACCTGCAGCAAGCCGGCTGTCTTATTCTTAGCTTTAAATATGTGAATGATGGATTATACTGCTACCCTAATCACCAGCTCAAAAACAATGTTCAGTTTTGTGAGCGTGTTTTACATGGTCGCCTACTTTTTCCATCTTGCGACACATGCCACCGTCTGCAGTGGCTAGCAGTAACCTAGAGGCGAAGTGAAAGGTAAAAGGACAGTAGAGAACATAAGTGCTTGTACCCAGAAAAGGCGGAGGCGGGATCTAACCGAGTAGTACATACTGTGAGCTGCTTCCCCTCAGTCTTTATCCTGGGAATCCCAGTGGTCCCAGATTCAGAAAGCAGAAATGCCAACACTCCAGAGCAGATAGAAATGCAAAGAATCACTTGTTGGGGAATTCAAGTCGGCAAACACACTGAGCTCCTATATTTATCAGGCACTTTGTGGTTTCTAGGGATATAAATTGGGTAAGACTTAGTCTCTGCCCTAGAGAGCCTTGGTTGCAAGTGGCGGTTGGAAACAGTGACCACAAACTGCAGTTACTTGCGGTGGAAGTGTCAGCTAAGGTACAACGGGCGAGGGAGTAGTCCAGACAACATTTCTTCTTTTGTAAATGATTTGAATGAGACAGTAGAAGATGCATTTTAAAGCCTTGGGTTTGGCTCTTGGGTGCCCGTGGAGTTGCTAAAATGTCTAGAAACAAATTGCGTTCAAGATGACCACAATAGTTTGAAGAAACAGTTAAGGTTGAAAGGGCATGAAGTTGTTATGTGTAGGCCCAAATCCAGCAACGGAGATGCGGGCTGCTGGCTGGACGGTCTCCCAGCTTCACAGCCAGAGCGCGGCCAACCCTACCGCTAGGCCCGCAGGGGGCCCTGAAGTCGAGGGTCCTCCCAGAAGGGACTTCGCGGCGGAGGTGAATTTCCTTTCTCATTTTCCTCGCAGGTTCCCACCGACAGGAAACCTGGCGCTTGGGAAAAGCCCCGGCTGCTGTCGCCAACCCCAGCCAGAAACTTGGCCCTCGATTGCTCCCGACGGCTAGAGTCCGCGAGAACTGTTCGCTCCAGGAGAGAAGTCCCGAGGGCCTCTACTGACCCAGCGTCCCCAGCCCCCAAGTGCGAGACTCCTGAGCGCCCCTGAGTCCGTGGGCTTCTCGGGGACACGGGAGCCACTCCGCTTAGAGCGCTCCAGGCGGCGGCCTGTAGTCGCGGGGGGCTCAGGGTGTGGGCAGGGGGCTGGCCTCCGCCCCAGGGCGCCCACCTGGCCTTTCCCGCCCTCCCTCCCGGCCCGGAGCGCACCCCATCCCCTCCTCGCCCGCCCCGACCGCGCACCGGGGGTGCCTGCAGGGCGAGGAGGCCGCCGCTCGCCGGGTGCGGGGCGACGGTGGCCGGGACACAAGCCCGGCGCTGGGCCGTGGCCTCGCGGGTCCCAGGGCGGGGGGCTGGCCAGGGGCTGGTGGGGCCCGGGGGCCGGTTCCCCGGGAGCAGCCTCGGCCGGGCGGGGGTTCGCGGAGGACGCGGCGGTGCGCAGCGGGGCCGTGGGGCCGCCCGGAGGGGCGAGGCGGCGGGCGGCTAGGGCCCGGGCAGCGCAGGGGCGCGGGGGAGCGGGGCGCCGGGAGCGGGGCGCGCGGCCGCGCGGTGGGCGGGCACCCGGAGGGGCCGCGAGGGGCCGCGGGGCTTAGGCGGGCGCGCGCCCGGGAGGGGAGGGGAAGGGCGCGGAGGGGAGGGCGCGGAGGGGAGGGGGAGGAGGGGAGGGGGAGGAGGGGAGGGGGAGGAGGGGAGGGGGAGAGAGGGCGGGGGCGGGCGTGGAGGGGAGCGGAGGGGAGGGGGAGGAGGGGAAAGGGGAGGGAGGGGGAGAGGAGGGAGGGGAGGGAGGGGAGGGAGCGGGCGCGGCGGCGGCGCGGCGGCGTCCCCTTCGCGAGCCAGGCGCACCGCGCGGGGCCCCCCCCCCCCGAGCCAGGCGGCGGCAGCGGCGGCCGCCGCGGCAACAGGCGGCGGCGGCGGCGGCGCTCGGGGGCGGGGCGGGGCGGCGCGGGGCGGGGCGGGGCGCGCGAGGAGGAGCCGCCGGGCCCGCGGCGCCGCCGGTCCCGCCGCATGGACGAGCTCTCCGGCCCCGGCCGCCCGCGCGCCCTCCCTGCGCAGCGCCCCGCGAGCGGCGGCCCCGCCGAGCGCGCCATGACGGTGGTGCCCGGCGAGCACCTGGCGGAGCCCGAGGCGGCCGACGGCGCGGGGGGCCCGGCCCCGGGCGGCTGGGAGCGGGAGCGGGAGCGCTACGAGCCGCTGCCGCCCGCGCCGCCGGCCGCCGGGGAGCAGGGCTGCTGCGGGGAGCGCGTGGTCATCAACATCTCGGGGCTGCGCTTCGAGACGCAGCTCAAGACCCTGGGCCAGTTCCCCGAGACGCTGCTGGGCGACCCCGGGCGGCGCGTGCGGTACTTCGACCCGCTCCGCAACGAGTACTTCTTCGACCGCAACCGGCCCAGCTTCGACGCCATCCTCTACTACTACCAGTCGGGCGGCCGCATCCGCCGGCCGGTGAACGTGCCCATCGACGTCTTCTCCGAGGAGATCCGCTTCTACCAGCTGGGCGAGGAGGCCATGGAGAAGTTCCGCGAGGACGAGGGCTTCCTGCGCGAGGAGGAGCGGCCCCTGCCGCGCCGCGCCCTGCAGCGCCAGGTGTGGCTGCTCTTCGAGTACCCCGAGAGCTCCGGGCCGGCGCGCGGCATCGCCATCGTGTCGGTGCTCGTCATCCTCGTGTCCATCGTCATCTTCTGCCTGGAGACGCTGCCCGAGTTCCGCGACGACAAGGACTACGCGGCGGCGGCGGCGGCGCAGGAGCAGCCCGAGGCGGCGCGCAACGGCACGTCGGGGCCCCCCCCCGCCGCCGGCTTCGCGGACCCCTTCTTCGTGGTGGAGACCCTGTGCATCATCTGGTTCTCCTTCGAGCTGCTCGTGCGCTTCTTCGCCTGCCCCAGCAAAGCCACCTTCTCGCGGAACATCATGAACCTGATAGACATCGTGGCCATCATCCCCTACTTCATCACCCTGGGCACCGAACTGGCCGAGCGACAGGGCAACGGACAGCAGGCCATGTCCCTGGCCATCCTGCGGGTCATCCGGCTGGTGCGGGTCTTCCGCATCTTCAAGCTCTCCCGGCACTCCAAGGGGCTGCAGATCCTGGGCCAGACGCTCAAGGCGTCCATGCGGGAGCTCGGGCTGCTCATTTTCTTCCTCTTCATTGGGGTCATCCTCTTCTCCAGCGCCGTCTACTTTGCCGAGGCAGACGACCCCACCTCGGGGTTTAGCAGCATCCCGGATGCCTTCTGGTGGGCAGTGGTGACCATGACGACAGTAGGTTACGGCGACATGCACCCGGTAACCATAGGGGGCAAGATCGTGGGGTCGCTCTGCGCCATCGCTGGTGTCCTGACCATCGCTCTGCCGGTGCCCGTGATCGTTTCCAACTTCAATTACTTCTACCACCGGGAGACGGAGGGGGAAGAGCAAGCCCAGTACATGCACGTGGGAAGTTGCCAGCACCTCTCCTCTTCGGCCGAGGAGCTCCGAAAAGCAAGGAGTAACTCGACTCTGAGTAAGTCGGACTACATGGTGATCGAAGAGGGGGGCATGAACCATAGCGCTTTCCCCCAAACCCCCTTCAAAACGGGCAATTCCACTGCCACCTGCACCACGAACAATAATCCCAACTCCTGTGTCAACATCAAAAAGATATTTACTGACGTTTAATATATGCTACGAGTGACATGCTGTGCTCAAGTATTGCGTGGACCGTGCCCCCTTGGTCTGTGTATGCCCTCGTTTTATACATTTCCAGACCACTCATCAAAGAAAGGACATGAAGAAGTGGAAAGCACACTTCATTTTCCCTCGCCCTACTGCTTCATACTGAAACAGGTGTCTGTGTTGCAAGTGGGCTGCATTCTCTCAGCTCTCCATTTTTTCCTCCCCCTCCCTCGAATATTGCAAAGAACAAACTTACTTTAAACTTGATTTCTAGTACACATCCTCTAAAAAAAAAAAAAACTGTACATCCTGGGAGGAAACGAAACTAAAGAACAGTTAGAGTGCCTAACCTCGGAATTGAAAGACAGTTGTTCTTTACTAAGTAAAGCAGGCACATGCGTAAAGGATGCTTCCGTTTGCTGGACCTTTGAACATTATTGAATCTTTAGTTCGGTTGCCTATGCTGTGGATACTTGGATGAGAAGTCTGATTAGGGCAATGACTTGTAAACCCACCGTAAGTGTATTTGGTTTTTGACTGGAAGTTCTATTCGAAACCCTTCCTGGAATCTTAAAGATTTCTACAACTGTGAACAAAGGGAAGTGCCCAAGGTGTCCCGATCTAATTAGTTGAACTCTCTGGGGCTTGTTCAGCATTTCAAAAGAGATGGACAGGCAGATTCCTGTGATGTTCCGTGTGTGTGTGTGTGTGTGTGTGTGTGTGTGTGTTCCCGGCAACATCTATCAAAGTGTGGGAAACACATGTTTTCAGTGCCGCTGAGAGAAACAAACAAAATTTCTAATGCGCCTGTGAGATAAGCTTCTGCAGTATCACAAGAAGATTAAAGTGGCAGACACTCCTTCCAGCGGAAGTTACTAATTCGGACCTGACTGATGCAGTTCCCATAGCAACCCATGTTTCCTGGGAAACCCGAAAAAGGTTGTCATGGCATCTCTTGCTCTCTAGCCCCACCCCCTAGCCCCTGCCGTTTCCACAATAACCTTTCCAGATGGTTCCTCCTTACGGGGTTTCATAAGGAAAACCACTATTTGGATAAACCGCACAAATAAAGTTATGCCTGAAAATCTGAGGTGGTGAAATGAATCACAAAATGCATATTTTTTTTTTACTACAGAAAATCATTGACATCATCTCATAATGACTGAATCGGAAAGGAAAATATTGCCTTTGGGATGTTAGATCTATACTACAATAAGGCATGATTTGAATTAAATGCCAATAATTAGGCAATAATTTAAAAGGATACTGTTTTCTTCCTCCAAGAAGTTTCAAGCTAACAAGTGAAATTTAAAAACAAATGTAAAAGTGTTCTGTACATAAGCAGATGAAAGAGTCAATCAGTGTACCTGAAACCTTACTACAAGGGACCTTCAGACTTCCTCTTAAAAAAAAAAAAATCCAGATCCCACAACAGCACTTGAAAAGCTAAATAAACTTTAAGAATATAAAGGATACGTGTTTTTTAACTAAGGGAATTGCAGACAATCAATAGAAAGGAGGGACGGGAAGTAACCAAATCTTGGGAAAATACCTGCAAGTTTCAGCCGCATACCAGGGGTTGCCAGAAGACAAACAGAATCAGGTGAGCACTGTGTGGGGGTACTGAGAGCTCTCCCTCTTTGTACAGGGAACCAGGGAAATGCTGTTCCTGTCTAGATTGGTGATGCTTGCAAAACCAATAGTTTCATATTAGTTACATGCAAATGCCTTTTAAAGATCACTTACAACATCTTTTCCATTTGATTTCCAAGTTGTAAACTGTCCCTTGGTTTCTGTTCTTTATAGCAAAAGGATGGGTAGGTAGGAGGAGTCATGGCTCTATAGAATAACCTTCACCCAAACTGAGCTGAAAATGATTCCCTTTCTTTCCTAACATTCTCAGTTTCTGAGCAACCTGTTTCCCCTTTAAAAAAAAAAAAAAAAGATAAAAGGCAGAACCCACTGCTGTTAGATTATTGGCCCAATTTTAATTTACATAATTAGTAGTATGCAGTAGCACAGTTGTTTTAAACAAAAATGGTTAAGCTTACAACAAGGGTAACACTGTATTTAAACAAAACCATTTTCTTTTATATATGTTATATATATTATACTATATTTTCCACAATTATACATTGTGCACAATTGTTTTTTGATTTTGATAGGATATAACTGTCTAAAACTCATAAAGTATTTTCAGATAATCAGAACCCTACTTTATCATTTATGTACCTAATACAGTGAAAAAGAATGGTGAAGACTTCTAGAAGGAGAAGAGGAGGGAAAAGACAAAAAAGTAATAGAGGCAAGAAATCTATATACCTGGTAATGGGGTCACTGCTTTTATCTCTGTGCATCAAAATAGGACTCCTTCATCTAGTGTCTTTTACTACTTGTTTGAGTTACTTTTACCATTGCCTACCTTTTGATCAAATTCTTGGTATTCTTAATGACCAGGCATTGTTTTCGTGACCCATTTTGGCGGTAATATGTTAGATACACTATAGTAATAATGGAAGAATAACTTCTGTATCTGATCTTAAAAGATCTTGACATGAAGGTGAACAAAGTGCAGTGTCACTTTTATTCACTTCTATTTAGAAGCTATAGAAGCCCTGCTTAGTTCTATAGGTAAATAATGGTTGCACCATAATTTTTAGAACTATATGGTTATTAGTAGTAATATGAAGAAGACCTTGTTTTCAACCCAGAGAAATACAGCTTTTTGAGTCATCACTCTGAGGTAGTATAATTGCCTCTGGTTGTCAAATTATAAGCTCCTTTAAGGTTATACGTTCTGTATTTTGACAAATACAGATTCTGGATACTGGTGCCTCACACAAATTGTAGCACTTTGTATGTATTCAAGATATATTTTATGAGTGAATGACTATAATCTTACATTAATGTTATTTTCAGGTTTTTAATGAAGTGATTTAAAGCATAAGCTCTGCAGTCACACTGCCAGGGTTTGAATCCTGACTCTGCTGTATGACACTGGAGCAAACACTTAACTTCTCTGTGCCTCAGTTTCCTTATTGGTAAAATGAGGATAGTAAATAGTACCTCATAGAGTTGCTGTGAATAGTAAATGTTGGTACAGGTATAATAGAAAAACTGGCTGTATGATATGCAACAGATTTTGCTAAGAGATTACATTATTGTTGTGATCATTATTTACAAGCATTGTATGATAAATATGAAGCTTTGTGAATGATAATGAAATACATAAGTAATCAGTATCTTCCTATTTACTTTCTGTGTAACTATAATAATTACCATGTAATTACCATGTCCTCACTTCTCAGTTCTGCAAGGTAAGTGGTATTCACCCCACTTTAGGAGGGTTAAAAAAAAATAGATGGTTATGATTAAGTGAATTCCCAAAGACTTCACAGCTAGCAAGAAACCCAGCTATGATTTAAGGCCAGGTCATTCTGGCCCCCAAACCCATGCTCCTTCTATTAGGTGACTTGAAAGAGATTGAAAAAATAAATCTCGGGGATCCCTGGGTGGCGCAGCGGTTTAGCGCCTGCCTTTGGCCCAGGGCGTGATCCTGGAGACCCGGGATCGAATCCCGCGTCGGGCTCCCGGCATGGAGCCTGTTTCTCCCTCTGCCTGTGTCTCTGCCTCTCTCTCTCTCTGTGACCATCGTAAATAAATAAAAATTTAAAAAAAAAAAGAAAAAATAGATCTCTTATTGCTTTTAGGTTTTACTTCATCCCATGTTACTAATTAATGAATTCCTGTAGTGAATATATCTCCAGAAACCTATTTTATGCAGTATATTGAAAATTAACCCTTTCCTAATCATCAGAGTTTTTAAACATAGGGATCAAATATAAGGTATTTAAATTGAACAAAGAGATTGACTTTTCTAATAATAAAAGACTATTTTCCTATATATTTGATTTGTCTGCATTTAATATTATACTCTGAAAGCATAATCAGTCATAGCAGTGATACCTGCTAGGACAATAGATATTTTTCAGTTTTAAGATTAATTTCCTATTTTCATGTGTTTTAATCCACAATAGATAATAGTATTACTCAAATTGTTATTTTTCCATCTCCTTATACTTTGCTTAGGTTACCAAAGAACCGTGCCAGCAAATAGTGTAAATATTTTGACTCTCCCTTATTAAGAAAGGAGAAATTACTTAGAACAAAAGGCCTGAAAGCAGAAGGAGATTGCCAGCTCATTGAAATTTGTGACATTATTGCTTTACCCAATCACTCTATGGATCTTTAAGAGCATCTGTGCTCAGAAACACGTTAGAATATAATTTTGTACCACCTAATAGCTGTAGCCCCTTCTCTAAGGTCCTAAATCATTTAGAAAACTAAAATGGATAGTGATTTGGGCTCACAGCGAGATACAAATGAGCCTAAGTTTACACATACCATTTAGCTTTGCCAAAACAAAGACTTGTTGTTGAGCTCAACTGCACATCTTGGATGTTGAAAGGTATACATATGTCTGTGTGTACAGAAGATTCATGGGAGGAGGTGTGACTGGATCCGTGCATGTCTACCAACACCCTGGGGAAAATGTATATACCCTACAGCTGGTGAATCCAGAGATGAAAATAACATTGTCATTTATTTATTTTATGGTGCTTTAAACTGATATTATACAAAACTTTAGTACCCACCAACTATGCTGACGTAATCACAAACAGCTACAAATAAGAGGAAGCATTCTATCAGTTATTTCTGAATTTTGAGATAAAATTTCTGGGATTGAAATTTTAAATGCAGACTATGAAGAGATTTAGAGTTATGGTTTGTTTACATCAAATTTGTTATTTACCTTTGGCATAAAACGTACTCAAGCAACTGCTCTGGTCAGAGTATGTAAATTATATATATATATATATATCCGATAGTTTTTTCCTTTAAGAGCCATAACTATAATTTAATGACTTCCATACATTTAAAACTTCAACATTTTCTACAGCAGTTCCACACCTCTCCGTTGTGACTAGAATTGATAACCCTTCCCACTAAGAAATGAAGAAAAGTACACGTCCCCCTCCCCCCCCAAATCTGAACACTTACAGAAACACTGTGAGACAGAGGTGAGGAGCATAAGAATGGAGCAGAAGACATTCAGGGCTTGCATTTTAGGGTGGGGCTCTTTCTGTTTTTTATTTCACCTTTTAAACGGAAGATAAGACTATTATATTTGTGCTAGTAATTTCCTGCATTTTGTTTGACAATTTTATATTTATTAATGAAATCCCTTGTCTTCTATAACTTGCAGGGAGTAGTAGAAAACCTTTGAGAGAGGGCAAATCAAGGGAGGCAGGAAGAAGGGAGGGAAGCCATGCAGAACCCAAACCCTGTGCTATCATGACTCAGCTCCTAACCTCCTGCCAGAAAATGGCCATTGCTTAGAGTATAGGACAATAATATTCTTTATATGCTCACATTCACCTTGCAGATTTAATTTAAATGATTCAAACAGGCTAGAAAGTTTTCAAATATTTGTCTTTATCTTCAGTGATGCTATAAACTAATTTTGTCTTCAGAATTGTAAAGACAAGATGTCTTACACAGAAACATTTTCATGGTTTTTCTCTCTTCTTGCCCCTCTCTTTTGTACTGGATGTGTTATTCTGTACATTTCAAATTTTGAATCATTAAGTATCAAATATATTAAAGAGGAGATCTGGAGAAGCGGCTCCATCATTTTCTTGGAAGCCATTTTACTATTGTTGTAATAGTGCAGAATAGAAGCTCTAGCCTAAAAAGTAAATCCTGGGATTTTGTTAGTAAGGTAGCACGTAAATGAACAACAACAAAAAAATGATGATTCATCATATCTGAAGAACATTATGAATAAATTTGTGCATGCAAGGCTCTGATTTTGCAGATACAGGGATTGTACCCCCAGCATGGTGGTAAAGAGTGAAGAGAAGCTTTTTCTTTTCTATTGAGCCCCCAACATCACCCTCCCCCTTTCATCAAAGCACAAAGTCTCTTGGTTGAGATTCCCACTAACTTTTTAGAATGAAAGCTAGCATTGCACGTATGTGTTACATGTCAATCAGCACTGCTGTTTCACTGGTTTTTTGTTAAGTTTATTTTAAACTCTTGTTCTTTATGGAAATTCTCTCTGAATCCTAAGGTTCTTATTTTTATACATTTAAACTTGTTCCTTAAATTAAAACATATAGTTTAATTAGGAAGAGGAGCCATTCGACCCATGAGAGGGTAATCTGTTACACACACACACACACACACACACACACACACACACACCTCCCCTGTTATTTTCTATCCTAAGATATATTTACTTTCTGTCTACAGATCTAAAAAGTCTAAAATTGGTGAATTTCCAAAATACTGGTTTTCATTCATATGTGCTACATAGACATTTACAAAACATTTTTAGTTTTTTATAGCCTTGCTTAAAAGGCAGATTTATTGCCTAGTGTTCTCAATGTATTTATTAATGTAATAGTGGATGCATAAAAGCAATAAATACATTCAGTTTATCACTGAGCTTAGTCATTTTACCTCCTAAATACCCATAAAAATAATCTACTTTTCAACATCACTGCCATCACCAC